TCTGTCTCTGCTCCTTTGAGATGTGTATCTTTTGAAAACTCTTTTGCCAGTTTCACAATCCAGGAATTTTTTTTTTTCCTCAAGGACCTGGGGGCCATGATCTTGAAAGAGAAACATTCAGGGAGCTTCTGCCTCTGTCTCCTGGGTTCTGTGGGAGGGTAGGAGCCTGAAGTCCTCAGGGTGGGCAACTTGCTCCAAGTTGTTAAATGGAGAAGCAGCTCTCGTGCCCTCTCCTTCAGCAGAGCTGAGCTCACCCTGGGTTCTGGCCTCTCTCCCTCCCTGCAGTGGCCTCGAATGAAGTCTTCCTTGCCTGTTTAACTTTGGTACAATTTTTACTTTGACAAGATGAATGGTTAAGTCTCTCGAATCAGACTGTCTGGGATCAAATCCCAGCTCTGGTCTCTGACTAGCTGCCTGACCTCGGGCTGTTAACTAATGTTTAGTTTTAGTTTCTTTCCTGTGAAAAGAAACAGGAAGCAGCAATAGCACCTACTTCATACAGCTGTCGTGTGGATTAAATGAGGCAAATAAAGCACGTGAAGCCCTTGCCCCCGAAGTCGCCCTCAGGACATCTTAGCCCGCACGTGTGTTGCTGTTACGGACTCAGGTCTGCGGGAAATGGGAACAAGGAACGTATTTCCTGTGCTTTAACTCCTGCAACTCGGATTGTATATTTTTTATCCTAAGGTTTTGAATACTAGAAAGAACCATTTTATTCACACACAGATTTGAATGCACTTCATGATGGGGATTCCATCTTTCTGCCTTGCATACAAATGTTGGTTTTTCTACTCACTCTCTCGACGACCTTGTGTTTCAGATGGCCTTGGAATTACCCACTCTTGATTCTAGAACACTGAGTGCACGCGGAGCAGCTGACCGAGCAAGCTATGCTGTTGAGTGTGGGAAAGTGGGCAGGTGTCTGGAGCTGTGAGCCAAGGGTAGCGCAGAGAGTGGTCACGGCGCGCGAGTGCACATGTGCCTAGCAGTCCATCTACTAAACCTCAACTCTGCCAGAAACTCAGGCTGCCGCTCAGGAGAAAAACTTTCCTGATCGACAACCTGCCAGAGGACCAGCAGGCTGCAGGCTGCCCTGCTCCCAGGCATGGCTGAGTCCTTCTGAAGACCCTGCTTCTCCCATCGAAGCCAGCAGGCCTCCCACGCAGCACACAAGGCCCTGAAGGGGGGAGGATGATTCTCCAGCCTCTTTTGGGTGCCATCTTGCACAAAAGGGTTGGCCTCCATTATCCTCCAGAGGGATTTCAGAAGAGGTCAGAGCCAAGTGAGCTGAGCCTGGGCATCTGTCATTAGTTAAGATGACTGGACCTTCTCGCTCAAGGAGCCACTTTGGGGGCTGACTTCTCCTTGAAGCTGTCTGAGGTGGCCTCCAGCTCTCCTGAAAGCTGACCTCCTCCGTAAGCACCTCCGAGCACAGCTGCATGCTCTGGCCTGTGCTGCACCCTGACCCCTGCCCCGAAGGGCCGGCTCGCCTCTCTCCTACGGCTCACACTGCCCAGCCCGGGGCTGGCCGCCGGGCTCCAGGCCGAGGGCCCAGCAGACCCCGGCTCCCTCACAGCCCTGCTGCTGCTGCTTCAGCTGCCAGGACTCCCATCTCCCTGGCATGTCTCTGTGCCAAAGAGGGCTTTGGCTCAAGGCAGCCTGGCCTTGTTCATGCTTAGATAATGACCTCGAGCATGTCTGCTCTTCTCCATGCACGGACAGCAATCTGGCCCGTGGATGCAGGTCTGAGCACCTGTGGTTGACCGGCCTCCACCTGGCTGGCCGGGAACTCATCTCCTACTAGTCGCTCATGCTGGACCAAAGACACGACAAAGCTTCCTGTGCTTTTCAGACAAATACCGGCAACTGCTGTTTTCTCCCCACGTCACTTTGCATTTAAAAATTTACTTGATACTTTCTAACTAAACCAGAATCATAGCTGGATTCTCATAACTTCCAGAAGACCTGTGTGAACCTTCTTTAGCTGGCAGCTTCTAATTTGATCTTACGTAAGACGCTACCTTCTGTCTTTCTCAGTGACTTTGGCAGAGGAGACGTGAGCCTGGCCTTGCTGACGTGGGCGGTGGGCAGAGGGTGGCCTTCCTTGGAGTCTGCTCTGGGTGTAAAGCCAAGAAAGACTTCCGTTCTGTTATAGCTCTAAGTGAAGTATGAGCCCTTCCTTCCCCAGGACCCCACGGAGCTCTCGGGCAGCTCTGTCTCCGCAGTGGGCAGTGATGCTGGGCAGTGTTTTCAGATGGACACTCACTTGCTTTCTTGGTGAGAAAATCCCTGGGCCCTCGCATGCTGCTCTGCGGCCGCCGTGGCAGGTGAGCGGGGTGATGGCGGAATGACTTTGGATGTCAAGGGGCATGTAGCACATGAATTCTTCCAGGCTCGTAGGCGGAAGTGATCCCATGTCAGGTCAGTATTTCAGGAAGGAAGAAATGAGACCGTTGGAAGTGAGTTCTGTAGGAGGGGGTGACTATTACATGGAGGAAGAAGAAAGCTAAGGGCCTAAAAGGTGAAGGAAAAGGTAGAGAAAGACCTCATCTTCAATGAGCACTGGCTCTGTGCCGGGGACCCTATCACATCTCCTCCTGACATGCAGAAATTGTATACCTATTTGCCAGGAATATTAAGTAATGTGTCAGTGGTCTCTCAGCTGGCAAGTGGCAGAGGTGGGATTCGTAGCCCACACTGTTAGCCACACGACACTGGGAAGGGTCATCTCTTGGCAGCTCAGACCTCTTTCAACCACTTCTAAACACACAATCATAAATGGTTCAAGCTGGAAGAAGGAAAGTTTGGGGACAACTAAGCCAACTCCTTTATTAGACGAAAAAAGAGACTTGAAGAGGAAAAGTGGTAGGACATGTTATTAAAGTTGAACTGGGAGCAATCTCCTAGTTGCCTGAATCCCTGCTGAACACTCTTGGGATGACTGGCCGCAGGATTTCTTAGCTGTTGAACTTGTTTTTTTCTTTTCCTGGAAACAAGCCCCCCCGTCTGCTTCCCCTGGGGTAGACATCTATTAAAGAACAGTATTTTTCATACTGGCTCAAATAGCTTGTGTCTGGGAGATATGCCTCATGCCCACATCTCAGATAATGGGAAATTAGACACTGGGACAGGAGGCTTACTCTTTTTCATCAAGTGAAAGGAAGTCGCTGACTCATCACATCAGCCCCTAGTTCCGAAGCCTTGCTCTCCCCAAGGTCACCAGTGGTTTCACAATTACTGAAGTCACAGAGCATCTTCCTAGCTTTATTTTACGCCTGACACTTGAGATTATTTGTCAATAACAAGCGAACAGTTTCATGAAACTCCCTCCTCCCGTGACAGCCCCTCTTTTAGCTTTTCTTGCTTGTTCTCTTCATTCTTCTTCCTGAGATGCTATTTTTCCTGCCTGTCCCTTAAATTTAGGTGTTCTGTTGAACTCAGCCCTCAGCCCTCTCTGCTTCCATTTTATAAGCTGTTCCTGGGTCATCTTGTTTAGGAGAATCAAGATTCTTTCCAAGACCGTAACAAATGCTCACCCAACCCCTTTTCAATTTACAACTTAATTGGTCTCCCAAATTCTTGGAAACAACCTATTCAGTAGACATAAAGGGATAAAAGTAAAATTGGACCTCTGCATCCAGGGATATCTCAGAAAAATGAGAACCTGGGTCAATTAGATCACTTGTTACAATGAAAACTAAGTAGAATCTAACCAGCATGCCTGGGATAAACAGGATTTAGGAAGAAACTTATTCTGGGTAATCGGAGCAACACGTTTTGATAAAGTGAGATTTGCTCACAGTATTCAGCGGGAATCAGCACACCTGATGTTTAATAAAAACAATGAAAAAGCAACGTGTAGTTCTGAGAACTCTAACCGGAGGGGAGGACTGGAAGGGGCTGAGTTCTAGCTGGAGTGGAGGCATCAGTATTTGATTTCAAAATCTGTTCCTGGCTTCTGGCTCTCGTGGTTTGTTGTCAAGTCAGTCTTACTTCTGAAGCCAACTCACTGAGCAAACACTTTTGTAGTTTGCCCACATCGCACCAAAGGAGCGGCTGCCTAACATTACTTGTCTTTTTGTGACTTTCTAATGTTCTTAAAGCATCCCATTTACAGAAGACACTGTGGGGACTCTCACCCACACTGGGTGGAGCCAGCGGCCAGCTTATGTCTGGTTTTGCTCCATCTGAGATCACTGCCGCCAACTGACTGGATGACTTCACCCCCGCGCTCAGAGGGGGGAGGTTTAAGGTGCGACAACTGCCACAGATTCCTTCAAGCTTGCTTCCTTTTCTCATCCAATGTAGGAAAAAAATAGCTAATTTCCCAAAATATTAGTATTCTGGAAAACAAAATTTAAAATTTAACTAGCCATGGAAACAGGTATTGATGGAAAGGAACGTTAGGTTCAGTACGAATGTGTCGTAAGCAAAGACCAGACTGTGAGGCTGGGTCTGCCTCTGATGTTTAACTTTTTGCTCTGTTTCCATTTCTCTTCGGTGCTGATCTCTTGCCCATGTGGAAAGATGCTGTGTAAGGGGAAGTCTAAATCTTCCTCTGCCTTGAACCTTGAGGCTGGGCAGAGAGAGGAATGGATTTCTACTTATTTCAAGCGAACATGAACTTAGGGAGCCCATTCCTTTCCCTCCCTTCCTTCCTTTTGCACAGTTACAAAGTGCTCTCAATCATTAAGGAATTTTATGCAGTTCTAAAACCACAAACCTAAAACCGTACAGATCAGAGACCTCAGAGATGACCTAGCCCACCCTCTGATTTTGTACACAAGGGCCATGAGCTCCAGAAAGCGGAGACAGAACCAGATTTGGGGCTCCTGAGTCCTCTTCCTGGTTCCGTTATGTCTTAGAAGAGGCCACCAAAGGCAAAGACACTTACTTTTGTAAGAATCTCTATTGGAACCCTCTGTAGGCTGCTTTATTTTTTCCATTGGGTAAGTTATCACAACCAACAGAGAAGTCCCCATAGCCGTTCCATCACTTACCAACAAACAGCTGACTATAGAGCTCCAGGCGGGTGTGGCCCTCCGTGGGGGCCTTGCGGACCTGCCGGGGCAGCCGGTCCACCTGCAGGCTGGCCTGCTTGACGTTCCTCTCCGCTGTGACCCGGTGCCACTGGTCATCATTGAGCGGGGAGGGCGACCTGACCACAATCTCCACTGGCCCATTTCCGACATCAAATGAAAAGGACACTTCCGTGGCAGCTGGAAGAGCAGAAGGCATGAAAGGTGCGTGAATATTCCCTCCAAATACCAAACAGCAGTGAATTCTAGAGGAAAAACAAAGCCTGGAGGGAAAAGTAATCTAAGCTCATCATTTGCTGCAAAGGTTCAATGCAAATTATTTGAGGAAGGATAAGACATCAATCCATTGCTAAATGTTAACAACCAAGGGGAGGAGAATAAACTCGGATTGGGGGCCATGTGTACACTCATTTCCTTACTTTATCAAAAAGCTACCATCATTGCCGCTTCTCAAATAACAAACTGAGCAATGGAGCACTCTAACACAAGTCGAGTGTCTAAGATTTAATGAATCAGGATCTGAACCAGGCTCGTCAGATTTCAGAGCCTGAGATCTTTTGACTACATGCAACGTGACTCTTCAGGAGATCCTAGGGTGCGACTTGCAGCCTTGGCTGCCCCTTAGAGTCACCTGAGAGCTTTACAAAACACCTGAGTCCAGCTCCATCGCTAGGGGATCTGATTCAGTTGGTCTGGGATAGCCACTGGTATTTTTTCATAAAGCTCCCTGGAAAATATTAACATATAGCTAGAGTTGAGAGCTACTGCTTTGGGGAGAATTCATGAAATTCTATTCCCTTAATCAAATCCTTGAAGTTCCAACTGAAAGTTAGGGAGCTACGAATTGGGGAGGCGATGAGGATGACACATATCTTTTTTGGACTGCTGTGCCTGTGCAAAATGTAGCTCCAGATTCCTGATGAATAACCCCTTACCCGAATCATTTGCTGTAAGCCTTGGCTATGCCCCATCTGGGATGTCAGCTCCTTCTCATAGCCTACCATCCAGCACTGACCACAGATTGTCTTTTTCTCACAGATCTCCCCATCAACATCCTTCTTTAATAAATCACCTTTCAACAATGCAAAACTGGATTAAACAATTGCTTTGGTAACTCCAGTTGTAAGTAGCTTTCTTCCTTCACCTTTTAGGTTTTAAGTTCCTCACTGACCACCCAATGTTTCATAAACATGGGTATATTTTTCTTGTGATTGGCAAGAGAGGCAGTGTAACATGGAACAGGCACATGGGTCCCAGCTCCTTAGCTTGGTGAACTCCTTCCGACATTAAAGACATCCCACTACCGGATTTGCTCACTTAGCTTAGAAAGAGATTCAGCCCCTCCATCTCCCAATACACCTCTGCCTAATCTCTAAGCAGTTTGACCAAATATCTGTCTTTTTTTCCCCTCTAGGATAATGAAAAATTCAGCTCCTTTGGACTGGTACCATTTTTCGATGCTTTGCAAGCAATCAAACTTCCAATTTAAAAACCGCAGTGGGCCCGATTCTCTCAGGACCCTAGACTGTTCCCCGCCGCTGGGTCAGGACCCTCTGAAAACTGCATTAACTTTATTGGGCTACAGGCACATTAGACGCAGAGCTCAATTTAATCAATCTAATTGTACCAAGGAATTTTGATCCTTTACATCATTAGAAAGAGAACTTTCATTTTAACACCTGTGATGATTGCACATGTGCTCTGGTAAAATATCTTCTCCAAATTAGGAGCTACTACCTTCAGGGGTCATTGTGTGGTCAAGGTTTCAGTGAAGGATGATCAGAATATGAGTCAATGATCCTATGACTTCACGGATTGAATGACCTTTCCCTGAATTTCTGGTGTGGTCAGTGGGGAAAAAGTGACCTCAGTTTTAAGATGGAATCTGTTCTGTTCTTGCAGTGCTGTGTTTTAGCAGATGCATTTTTAAATGTAAGTTGTCAGAATAGCCAGAGAACAAGGCGTCCTGAGCTAAGGAGGAAAGATTGTTTCATTTTAAAGGCATCAACAGCCATCAGGGAAACAGAATTTAGGGATAAATTGAGTTTAACCCTAAGGTTTGACTGGGAGGGATTAATGCTGCTCTAATTTCCTCTCCTCCTCTCCTCCTGCTATGAAGAATTTTTGTTCAGTTCTTCAAATTGTGACCATTTGGAGAAACTCCGAGGACCAGCAGTTAACAGGGACTAGTCACGTTTTCTTGAAATCAATACTTCCCTCTAGAGAAGGAAAGGAGGCCTCCGGGGTCTTGCTGTCACTCAGTCCTCTCACCCCAACTGGGGGCAGTAACAGGGACTCAAGGCTGAGGGGCTCCGAGAGCAGACTCCTCCTCCCAGAGCCTCCGCCCAGGCTCTGCAGAAGAAATGTTCACAATTTCAGCAACTGCCACCTCCCTCCTGGTGCTTCCCGAGGAAGGGGGCTGTGAGGCCCCTGACAAGACTGAAGGAAAGGGTTCCGTTTTCTCAGTCATTCACTGCCTTTGAGCAATCCCATCTCCCAGGCAAACGGCAAGCATGTTTTAAAAGCTTCTAAAGTTCAGTTTGTGGCTGATTGCTCTTGGTCTTCTGGGCGAGAGGAACTGACATTTTAAAAGAGATAATTACAGAGAGAGTCAGCCAGCGAATAAAACGGAGGCGGCAGAAAAGACACCAGAGCCAGTGACAACACCCTGACTTAATGTGGGTCTCTAATTGGAGACCAAGGGGTTGCCCCACTCCTGCCTGTGGAAAAGGCATTTCTGAATTATTGAGACTATTCTTATTTCCAGAAATAAGTATTTGAGAACAGGATGCTTCTAGCCTGGCTTATTAGAAAGGACACTGTAGCAAACACTGATGGCTGCCTTTCTGTTAGTGTCAGGAACTGGGAAGCACCTGGGATTTTCTTTCTTGCGAACTGACAAGTTATCCTGCCATAGTTTCAGAGATGCTGGCAGGAGACAGCAGACTCCCGGGCTGGGGACAAAGCACTTTATTCTTCAGGGTGTAACAGGCAGCAGGGCCTCAGCCCTCCTGGGGTTTCTCTGGTCCCCCAAGTCCACGGGGGCCATGTGGAGCTGCAGGCAGATGCCGCGTAGGCAGCGAGTTTGCATCACCGCTGAGGAACCCTGAGTTCAGGAAACCCATGAGTTTTAAAGGGGCTGTTAGTGAACCTGCTCAACTCTTGCCCTGGGGAGAGACATTAGCTTTATCATTCTGGTCACGAAACAATTCTACCCTCTATTCTGGAGGAGGACATCCTATCTTCCAGGACTGTTTACTACACATACAACCTTTAAAAGGTATGAACAATGCTGACAATGCCTCTTTGTTCAGAAGACAAGCAGAAATGGGAGAGACTCATAGAGAATTCTGCCCTGACAATTAGTCATTCTCCCAGGCTTCTTGCTAGCCCACCTAATTCTGCCTAGGAAGCTATGTGCTTCCATACAACTTTATGCCTCAGGTATGCATGGTTCTACCCCAGGACCAGGTTGGGGGGATCTGGGTTTGTCTAAGTCGAACGTGAGAATTCCATGCTCCTTGCGAGTAACCCACGTAGGATGGGATGTATCATTTTCTCCTGGCCAGTAAGACATGAGGGGGAGTCATTAGAAGCCCTTTTGGCACAAATTTATTAGCTCATAAGAGAAGAGATAGTCATTTCTCTTCTGCCCCTCGATCTCGGGTGGAGGCGTTGGTTCCTAGTGTTGGTGGAGCCATTGCATAAGCATTGGACACACTGAGGAAGACAGGGAGGGCAGTGGGATGAATTTGGGTCTCAGGGGACATTGTTCAGCCCCTAAGTTATTCCTGGAGCCACCTCAAGACTTCTTATGTGAGATCGCCATTATTGCTAAAGCCACTTTTATTGTAGCTAAAAGCCTCTTAAGTGATATAGGGGCTGGCTTAGCAATCGGTATTCATGAGTTCTGGTCTTCACTTTGCCATGTCACCTTTTTTGGGCTCAGCTTATTGGTATCTGAGATGAGAATTACATCTACAGGTTCCCGAGAGTTTATGTACCCAAAATGTGTTTGGAAACACACTGAACTAGATGAGCTCTAAGGCCTCGTCAAATGCCAACTTTCTATTACCTGATTTCCAAGAGATGCTAAGAGAAATACAGCTAGTCTTAGCGGTAGTTTTAGACATTGGATCACTACAGGGAGAAAAGAGAGACATTACAAGAGAAATGTACAAGGTGGCATATGAGCTTTAGAAAAAAGCATAGAGGGCAGAAATTTGCTTTGATTACATATGGATCATGACTTCGTCTGGGTGAGAAAGCAATGAATGGGACAGAACCATGGACAGCTCCTGGTATATTTCCCCTGCCTTCAAATGTAGTTCCAGCAGGTGGCACTAGTCACTCCCACGCTAACTCACCGTAAGTTTTCTCCAACAAATCACTCCAGGCTTGGTGTACTGAGTGACAGATGTAACAACCGACCAGAACAGTAGACCTCTGGGCTCTGAGTTCTCCCAGAAGGTGAGGTAACATTCTGATATTGGACTCAAAGTGTCAGTTGGAAGCAGCAGAAAAAAATTGGTCATTCAATTTAGAATAGTTACAAAGATGAGGAAAGGTACACATAGTGAGCACGTTGAGAAGACCAGCTAACATGGCTGCAGTTTTGATGATGATCTGTTTCCATCCTGAAGTGAAGTTCAAGACTAGATGGCTTTCAAAGGGCTACCCTGTACCAAATCTCATTTGACTCATACAACAAAAGTGGTACTGGACAGAACAGATATTTAGCTCACTCTACAGTGGAGAACGTTATGAACATATTTTCTGCTTTCTCCTTCTTCATGAAAGAAGGGCTAAGTGTACATCAGAAGACAAAAGTACACACAGGAGAGGGTAGAAGACACAGGTAGGCTGAAAATGAGGTCACTGTGGGAATCAGAGAGGTGAGGAAAAGGAGGAAGCAGTAGAGAGAACAACTGTGTTCCTGCCCAAGGCAAGGGCTCCTCCACCTGACACTGAGGACCATCCTTCTTACCTGCCGGGGACATCCCTCCAGCAGTTCTCCCCTCTCCTCCACAGCGTCACATGTGTATTCTCTGCTGGGTCATCTGCATGAACGTGCTGACATGTCTCTAGTCTTAGCAGCCACCACCACTATAAAACCCTTCTCTTGACCTTATACCCCATTTCTCAGCCCCCTTTTCTTGCCAAATTCCTCGAAAGAGCTG